ATAAACACAAACACGCACATAAACACAAACACATACATAAATATAAACACATATAAACACGAACACATATATAAACACAAATACACACATTGGCAGAGACAGACAGACAGACAGACAGACAGACACAGACAGAGAAGGACAGTGAATATTAAAGAGATTGACATGATGGTTGAGTTTACATTACGATTGCTTATATTTACAGCTGCGATTCTTAATATTAATATATCAATTTAGCTTTTCTCTTTTAATCTTACATTCCTGCTTATCCTTATGGTCCCCGCAGAAGCAATGTTTACGTCGGCTGCTGCCAAATAATGAACTTGTAAAAGGTCAGAGAGAAACCCAAGAAACGAAACTAATAGAAATAATATACAGAAAAAGAAAGAAGAAAGAAAATAGATCCAGGGGATATAGACTACATAGTAGTCTAAAACCCTATAAAAGAAGAAAGAAGAAGAAGAAGAGAAACCCAAGAACGTAAAGGAATAAATAGGTAATGCCCACACACAAGACACGAAATATATGTATTAGGTGTAAAAAAATAATCAGAAGAAAGTGAAAACAAAGTCATAGTCGCTTATCAAATGTCTTCCTATGTTGTAATCGGGAAGGCAAAGGCAATTAAAACTTTTAACAGGTTTATTGTGGCATGGAAGAGCTTTTAAACCTCCCTGGTAATTTAGGCTCTCGTGGAGAACATTGCAAAGCTCTATCTTGCTGAATATATTTGAGAGAACTATGTTCCCAAATGTAGCTGCTTTTGTTTCCTGTGTTGAACAGTTATGATGCAGTGAGTGTATTATTTATTTATTTATTATCATTATTATTTTTTTTATGTGTGTGTGGGGGGGGAATGTGTTAACTTTTTTTTTGTTTTGTTTTTTTGTATTTATAGCCTACTGCTGAAAGTTGCTGAATTGTCATTATTAATGTGTCTGGAAGTATGGGGAAAATGCTCTCACAGTGGCTTTGAAAAGGGATGCTTTCTTCATATCTCAGTTGGTTGTGGCCATTCATTCAGAAAACTCCTCTGAGACTAACAATTTTACCGGAAAACTTTCCGCCTATGTCAACCAATCGCACAGTAAAATAAGTGTATGGAATGGATACCTTGACAAAACTAAGACACTTTTCACCTATGGTAAAAGGTGCGCAAATCTAAAATAACGGAGATATAGGACAGAGAAGAGAGAAGCTTGACCCTTCATTTTCTAATTCCCCTTGTTTACATTGCAAGGGTGAATTCTAACCACATATACTACCACAGGGGTCCAGGGGGCATAGCCCCATGGCTAGGCATATATATTACCATGGGGTACAGGGGGCAGAGCCCCCTGGCTAGGGAATATATACTACGGTGTTAGGTTAGGTTGGATGTTGGGTTTTGTTTAACCCATTGCCGCCGGGGATGGCATGTACGTACATGCCATGCCCACTGTGAGCCGACTTGTTCGATTGTTTTTACACATAGATGGCTACACATGTACTAAGTATCCAATGAGCCAATTACGAGTATTGCCTGTCTCGCCCGTTCACCCTTTTCATCAATTGACAAAAATATTTAACGTTATCCTAATTTGTTGTTAAAAATAACACCATCTATATTTATAGCACTAGTAAGAATACGTTTTTTCCTGCCATTTCAAGGAAAAGTGAAATCAAGACTAGCAGAGTTTCAAAAGTAACCTACTACTCTCTTCTACATATTGACAGGGGGGGAGGGGAATTTTCTCTTTTCTTTTATGTATAGTAGCCTTGGGAAGCATTTGCACACATATTGCCATAAAAGAACTTTGTCTTGGTTTGTACTGTTCTATCATTTCATGTAGGTTTTATAACCCAACTCTGCCACTACCTTATACTACATATTGACCAAACTTTAGACATCCTAGCATTTTCTCAACCAATTAGGGAAGCAGTTAGACCTTAACTTGCAGAAATACAAGGTGTAAATGCATTCCTTGGCCTCATATAATCCTGATGGGGAGTATTTTTCATTACAGTTGATCATCCAATTTAAAGTGCCACATTACAAGTACTCAATATGATATAGGTTCTATGTGATATTGTTGGTAATTAGAACTGTGCAGTGTCATTCAGTTAAAGAGGCTTCCCTACCTGTAAGGAACCAGCCCATGCTTTAACTTACCTGAATATATATGGTGTAGCTTTGTTGGCCTTTTTTTAATCAACAAACACTTAGTCTTAGGCATTGCTTGATGCCACATCACTGCTTACAAGGTTATTACAAAAGCCTCCTATGAGGAGGCTGTAGGAGAGTATTTATTTGCTTGATACTTTTTTCAGTTTACTTCACACTTTCTTCAGGCATTTTATAGCCACCCAGCATTCAGAGCCAGTATCGCCATTATAGCTACTTAAATAAAACTAATATCAATCATCATCATCATCATTTGGGAGCTAACGCTGGCAGGGGCGCATAGCCGCATCCACCCTTTGCTTCCACCTACAAGGCTCCCTCATGGCGAGCTGCCAGGCAGGGGCCCGGCCCACCTCTAGCTCCTCACAACAGGTTTGATCGATCTGCCCAAGCCACGACCTTCTCGGTCGTCCCACAGGCCTCCTCCATCCAGGGTTGTCTCGGATAGAGACAACCTGGTGGGCAGGGTCATCCTGCGGGAATCAAGCCAAGTGGCCATATAGCCTGAGTTGGCGATCATGGATTGTGCAAGTAACAGGTCCTGTACTGGTCTCATGGGGCAGCCATTGGTTGGACACATGGTCCCGCTAACTGTACCCCATGATCCAGTGCAAGGATCTGTTACAAAAGGCATCAAGATGAGATTCCAAAGCAGAAGATAGTGTCCAAGTTTCACTACCATATAGTAAAACTGGCAATATCAGGGCCTTGAAAGCATGTAGCTTGGTCCTTCTGTACAGGCACTGGCATCTCCATATACTCTTGTCGAGAGATTTCATGACCCCTGCTGCTGGGCCAATCCGTCTACTGACTTCCTGGTCTGACTACCCAGAGTTGTGAACTGCACAACCGAGGTATATAAAACTCTCTGTGACTTCAGTGTTTTCACTGCAAGCACGTACCGACTGCACAGGATCTCCTAGTAGGCTCCCAAAATCCTGGATCTTGGTCTTGGTCCAGGGGACCTCTAGCCCCAGGGGCTTCGCTTCATTGCTAAATGCATCAAGAGCTCCCATTAGGGTTTCCAGAGATTCAGATAGAATGGCAACATCATCAGCAGAGTCAAGGTTTGTAACCTTGATATTGCCCAGAGTTGTTCCACAGTGACTTTGGACAGTAGCTCTACCAGTAGCCAGTCCATGCAAGTGTTGAAAAGTGTTGGTGCAAGAACACAGCCTTGCCTCACACCTGAACTATCAGGGAAGAAGCTCGACAGGCCCCCGCCACACTTTACAGCACTTTCAGTGCCTGTATACAGGTTTGCTATTAATCCAACAATCCTTATTGGAATTCCTCTTAGCCTCAGGATCTCCCAGAGTGACTCGTGATGCACTGTATCAAACGCCTTCTTGAGGTCGACGTCCGAACTCATGACGGTGCTCTATAATGACTCGAAGCGCCAGGATGCGGACTTACCAGGAGTGAATCCAGATTGCTCCAGCCTTTGATGCCTCAGCAGGTGGTCTCTGATATATCTCAGTAGGATGTGTGCAAGTACCTTGCCTGGTATACTGAGTAGTGTAATACCTTGGTGATTGCTGCAGTCTCACCGATCCCCTTTCCCCTTCCAGAGAGGGATGACTGCACCCCTCAGCAGGTTAGGGGGAATGGTACCAGTCTGCCAGATGGCAGACAGGACTGCATGCAAGCCCCTTGCCATAGGTTCTCCACCAGCCTTTATCAATTCAGCTGGTATGCCACAAACACCAAAGGGAGGGTGGATCCTTGCTGATGGGTGGGTCTGGCAGAGGAATCTTAATAAAACCCGCATCCATGTTAACTGTTAACAAATTTGGTTTCTTGGTTTTCCACCCTTCAGTAACCCTTTTTGTATGTAATGTGTTTTTCCTACCATGCAAATACCTTTATAATTGCTTCTAGTGAGTGTAAGTAATGAACCCACATGGCTTTCACAATTAAATCTTTTTATCATAATTTAAATCTTGCAGTGATTTGTGATTGATATCTTTATGTCTTTCTAAACCCGTATGTCAAGGTACATTTACTTTGGGCAACAAGATATATGTGTATACCATATGCAGGTCAGATAACAGTTAGTGTAAGAGATAAGGGAAACCATTTATAAGGAATGTTGTAGGTAAAAGACAGAAAGTCCACTTAATAAAAATACTAATTGACATTATTAAAAGACAGAAGGTCAGTAAAATGCAAGATATGATTAGAGCAGCAGATGGGCTGTGGGCTGTATCCATGATTGTATCAGCCTGTATGTTTGATGTTTCTGAGCTATATATTTAATTCTCCCTTTCTCTATTTTCTTTATTTTTCATCTATATTTTCAGAAACTTTATTTTTTGTTCTCTTCTTTTTTCAGACACATACAATGGGAGGCAATGCAAGTTCACACAAGACGCCAACTTCAGAACCTACGACTTCAACAGCTGGAGAAGGCATCAAGTCAATCAGGACTACAAATGTTTTCAAAGCAGTCAATTTTGAACTTTATGTAAAACCAGTAAGTATTGAACTCTAATATAAATTCAAATTGTAATTGTTCATCTTTTACAGTTTAAATGAAGTAAATATTTTATCCTTTCTCTTCCTATATCTCAAATCTTATTCTTTTAAGAAGTTAATTGAAAGCCTTTCCTTTACAGAACATAGCAGTGATGACCTTTGGAGTTGTAGCTATTCTGTGCAGCGCAGGTTATCTTGCGTATATGAAGGCATCAATGAGGGAAAGTAAAACTTATGTGGCCATTGCCGAGGATGGATCCCAACAATTGACAATAAAGAAATCAAGATGGGAGTGATTACATTGGTTATTAAGAAGCTATGTTTTAATATTGTTGTACAGAAAATAAAACTATTTAATGTATTACAATTGTTTTATTATCTAGACAAAAGGGAAAAATATATGCAAAACATTTTTCAGAGGTACTTTACAAGTTTTTTGGCAATTTCTTGAGAAGTACTGAATATTTGTACAGAGATATATATATATACAACACATAATAGAAAGGGAATACAAATGTGTACAAATTCACTTCAGTATATACACAATTACCTTGGTTTTCCAAACCAAGCTTATTCCTGATTTAGTTTTGAAACAAACCTTCACTTTCCCAACCTAGCCTTGATGCATAATATAACTTATCAATATTAGGCCTGTGGGTTAATTACATGTTTACTGCATATTTTTCATTTCCCTTAATGTAATTATGAAAAAATAGATAAATTATAAAAAAAAAAAATTACAGTATATACAGATTACCTTTAAACTAAAGAAATTGATTTTATTCACAATGGTCTACATCTAGTAAATTAATAATTTATATAGTAACAAAAAACATTTTCCTAGTGTATCATCTTTCCTGTTTCCTTTTAAATAATAGCATTAGTGAAATGCATTTACATTTTTCAATTGATATCTTCCTGTATTTTATTTTTTGTACAAATTTTTATTGGTTATAGTTTTAAAGAGGAGAAAAAGTAATATTTACAGAATGTATGACAAAGTGCAAAATAAAAATAATGATTATGAAAGTGAAATATTAGGAACTATATTTATTTCAGACACCAGAAGAACAGCTGTCTTCCTGTTTTATGCAATAACTTTCACTAAAATATTTGCATACATGGTTTATGGTTTTTAAATAAATATTTGCTGACTGTAAAGAAATTCATATTCCTTTGCAATGGCACTTTTGTATTCCTCTTGTTACACTTGCAACTGGAATAAAATGCATCACTTATTAGTTGCACTGAGCTCCTTATCAAGATTCTACTTTCATCTTGCATATGTACTGAAAATATACTGGTATTCCAAGTACAGTGAAAGATTTTCCCCCACAGGATGTGCTTCATGGCAAAATCATGTTTTACTTATGGAATGAGAAGTTTCTCAAATGATTACTTTGTCTTCATTCTGTACAGCTTTCATAATTTGTATATCTTGGTTACAGATTTTAATATTTATTTTGGCTGCATGTAATGATGTAAAGTATTTGGTATAGTGTAATATGGCACACCAGGATTCTCCATTCTGTTATCATGTCTCAAGTTCTGTGTTAATTCTGGCCCAAGACCTGGATGGTGTAACTCACTGCCATTTCCACGAAGGTCTCCTACTCCAGGAAGGTTACGTACATCCGCAGGCACTACTGACATGGCATCATTCTTTAGGTCAATTCTGTTTTCATTTCTTCCATCGGATGGCATTCCTGTCCTGAAAGTTGCATTCACTGTGCGTAATTCCACAAGAGATGTCCGGGGTCTGTTGTTATCCTGATGCACTTCATGTCTATACTCTGGCCTGATTAATTCCTGACGAACAAGATCAGTCCGCTGCATTTGAGGTTGCTGGTGGAGGTCATGTCGGGCCATTTCCTGTCTTGCAGCCATTTCCTGGGAGTGCATGTCATGTTTATGGATTTCAATTAGCTGGTTATGGAGATCATTCCTTAGGTCTTGAGTGGGAGTTGAAATGGAACTGTGGGAGTTCTGAGCTGCTGGAGTTTGAGTATTCTTTTTCATCTCTTTCTGAAGCTTCTGCTGATGAAGCTCATCCTGCACCTTTTGGATGTAGTCCAGCTTTTGATCATGAGCTCGCTGATGTGCTTCCATACTGTGCACTGAACTGGAGTCGTGCAATGGATCTGCCATTGGTTCATTCTGCAGGTCAGGTCGAGATTCAAGCATCATGTCAACATGAATGGCTGATTCCAACACAGAGAACTCATCAAAAAGATGACCTCCTCTCCGCTGTAAGTACTGCCTTATCACCTGACAAGCAATAACTGCTTCTGATACTTTTGGCAAGGCTGGAATGTTTTCAACTGGCATGTCAACATGCTGATTTGTCTGTTGAGCTTTAGCATTTGAAGCATTAAACATATTTGAATAATGAGGATACTGCACAGCATTGGTGATCATTCCTGACTGAGAGTTACCTTTCCCGTCCTGACTCTCTTCTGAATCACCGCTGTCCAGATCTGCATCAGAATTAGTAAATATTTCAAACTCCTGCTGACTGACACCTGGTGGTGGACCCACCTGATCATTGACATTAAGTGCATCTACATCCTTACTAAGTCCTGCTTTAACTACTCCCTTAACAATAGTTTCTGGACTAACATGTCTCCAAGCTTTGTGTATCATGAAAACCGCATCCAAGGCAGAAGTTCCATGGGAAAGAGTAGGTGGGTTTATCACACTGTGGTTAAACATACTGGCATGAGCTAGGTGTTCATTTGCTTGAATTTTGGACATTATGTGTTTGAGTTGTTGGTGTCTGTACAATGCCTTAAAAATGTTTATAATACCTAAGCGAAATGGCTGTAAAACTGAAGCTGTTCCTGGGGGAAAGAAAGTTACATTAATGTTGAAAAGATGAAGATTTTCTGGATGATGAGCAGTCTTGCTGAGAAGTATCACAATTTTTTTCTTTTTTGACCGCAATTCTCTGTCCCACTCTCGCAACCAGGTTGAAAAAAATTCTAGTGTTATAGCTCCTTTAGGATGGTAGTGGAAAGGACATGGTAGTGTTGCAGAACCCGTTAACTGAACTTGACCCACGACTGCTGCAGGCCTACGCTCAGTGCCTGCTAAGTTACTTGCCAGTATAACTGACATCCTGTCAGTTTCACCAATATTTCCTTGAGTCAAAAAATCAGGTACAGAATTATACAGAATGACCGTTTCATCAATGACCCACACATTCTGAAGAGGAACTTCTTTTGTGGCCTTGGCAAACAAATATCTCCTCCAGTGGTTGCCAACCTTGGTAATGGAGGGTGCCCCATCTTTATCCTTGAACCTTTTCAGGGTCACACCATTCCTGTCTTTCCACCTTCCTAGCCACCCAGCTGATGGTTTGAAATCAATGCCCATTTCATTACCAATTGACTTTGCCTTCTCCATGAGGATGGGACCTGAGATGGGGAGATCTTCCTTTTTTGCTTGCTTGTACCAATCCACAAGCTTCTGCTCAAGGGCACCTGCCTTCCCTAAGCGACACCTCTTGCGGTCAGGGGTTGCAAACCGGTTCCACTGCCCCATGATGGCATCTTTATTCTTCATGATCCGTGACACCTGACTCTGACTGACACGAAACATGTTGGCAATTTTTCCCTGAGGAACTTTTGGCTCCATATCCAGCATCTCCAACACCTAAAACAAGAAAAAATAAATATAATAATTTCTTTCAAAGTATTGCAATTTCAAAATTATTGTACTTTTTACATTATCAATCTCATTCTTGCTCTATTCCTTTCTGAATTTTTTATAACCCAGATATACTGATACAAGAAATTAAATGTCCAAACAAACTAACCTTTACTTTAGCACCAAGTGTGAGGTCCTGCCGTCTTTTTCTCATGAAGGCTGTCAGAGAGGTTTCTACCTGTGCCTCTCCAGCTGGCATTGTCCTTTTGCTCCGGACTTTTTTCTTGCCCTGAAAGTAAATACAAAAAGTAGATTTTAATTTAGTAGATCTCTTTCAATATGTGGTTTTCCAATTATTTCATGTTACACTTTACCATTTGAAATCAAATTATGAACTCTTATTGGAATGCATGTCAGAATAATAATCAGAAGTTGAGTTTCAACCACCATTAACAAATCCACTCATATTTTTTACTGCTTTACAAAATTGCTTATTGAAAATCACCTTTGTTCTTCCTTTTCTTGCTCTCTTTTTGGGCAGTTCTTCCCTCGTTTCTTCTTCATCATACTCAATCTTAATTTCATCATCGCTCTGTTCTGGACTTTTTTTAGTACGACAGTGTCTACCTGTTCCATCACCACTGGCTTGGTCCTCTTCTACTTCTTCAACCTCTTCAATATCTCTGGATGGGCTTGAGGTTTCAAGCATAGTTTTGTCTATACTATCAGACTGCTGATCCAAGACAGTGTGGTGGGCATTCTGGCCATGTGATAACATTGCTATGTGTTGCTGACTTGTAGTTGGGGTGGCCTCTTGTGGAGTCTGTGTAACTGGGAGTTGGTTACTGTCATGGTGCTGGTTTGGAAGAGGTAGAGTGAGTTGAGAGTTCTGACTATGAACAACTGGTGCTGAGTGGAGTTGCCTTGGACAGCTGTGATGTGCATTCTGGTGATGCAACGTGGTCGTTTCAAGATGCTGGCTCTGGGTAGAATGATGTGGGCTCTGACTATGCACGGTGGTGGTATCATGATGGGAACTTGCAATGGTGGACTGGTGAGGGCTGTGGTTGTGTGTTACTGTTAGATCATGATGCTGACTGGCACCTGTGTTGTGATGAGGGCTCTGCTCATGAGATACACTGTGATGCTGAGCTGAAACTGTTGTGTGGAGTGGACTTTGGCCTAGAGTCACTACTGCATTATGGTACTGGCCTTGGTGTTGTGGGGTCATGAGTGCATCTGGTAACATCTCTATTGATGCTGTGCTGTATGGTTGTTGATTCATGGTTCACCTTGTGATAGCATTCATCATCTGCAAATGTAAATATAAAATATAACAATTTCTATTATAACAAATTACTGAGAAATTAGAATTTTTCTTTTTTCTTTCAAAACCAATATCATGAATAGTAAATAGCATTAGACAAATATTTTTCTAAACTTTATAATGCGTAGTTTGCCCCCTTCCAGAAAGAGAGAGAGAGAGAGAGAGAGAGAGAGAGAGAGAGAGAGAGAGAGAGAGAGAGAGAGAGAGAGAGAGAGAGAGAGAGAGAGAGAGAGAGAGAGAACCTTATTTATTGAAGAATTTCTGCTGTGTCAACATCTAAGGTCATTAGCAGCGTATTCAGAATGTAGTGCGAGGCTTTAGGACAAAGACCCCAAGTGAGGAAGAGCTCTATGACATCTATGACACTTTGGTAGAGTAACAAAAAG